AAAAAAAAATTGCGTGACATTTGTCAGTTTGTATGAGTTGTATGAGTTGCCGCAATTGCATGATATCACATAAGATAAAAATTATCAGGCAATTTAATTATAAACTACAGCTTAAGATCAATATTTTTGTCTGATATATATAGTCTATTAACAGAACAATAAATCTTGCGTGAACCTAGTCCACAATAATATTATTGTGGACCCGAGGCTTATACGCACGTAGCTGACATTATATTGAACATAGTGACTCCTAATTTTAACATAGTAACCTTATTATTATAAACCTAAAGTACGATGTTACGTTAAAGATAGTGACCTTTATTATTCATATTAACCAGTCTTAAAAGATTTTACTAATTTTTTTTTTTACCTCTTATAGCCTTATAACACCAAAATGACTTTTATTTCGACATAATAACCTTTATTATAATATAGTGACTTTTTTAAAAAAACAAACAAACATAGGATCTCTAAATATTAGTGGTCCACAATAAATTAGTGTGAACCAGGTTCATTTAAGAGTTTGTATTAACCGAAATATATTCAAGTTATAATTATATTACATGTGTAATAATTTTTTGACAACTTTACATAGTATATATAATACAGTTTATATTATATATATTTTGATAAGATCAAAAAATTGATCTTGAGTGATAACACATATTCTCAAAATATACGGATATCTTTTTTTTTTTTTTTTTTTTTTTTTTTTTGACAGCAAATATACGGATATCTTACCTTGAGTGATACCACATATTTCACAATCAGAGCGTATACTCAATCATTGCATACATACTCCATATATGATTTTTGGAGTATCACGGGTTCGTGCAATATAGAGTTCGATAACTGCTTTAATATCTTTTATTATATATTTTTTGTGATAGAATCTTTTATTATATTATACTATGATTTAATATGTATGAAATTAATTTGTTACATACTACATATTAACGATATTATACTATAATTTAAGATAAAAAATATTACGCAATTGTCACATAAGATCGTAAGATTTTTTGTAGGCAATAATTTATGATAAAAATATTATGCAATTTTATCACATAAGATCAAAAATATTCGTAAGATTTTTTGTAGGAAATAATTTAAGATAAAAAATATTATGCAATTTTGTCACATAAGATCAAAAATATTAGTAAGATTTTTTGTAGGCAATAATTTAAGATAAAAATAGTATGCAATTTTGTCACATAAGATAAAAGGTTTTTTGTAGGCAATAAAAAATTTCTGCAATATATGAAGTATATATTTTGACAATTGCTTTATTTAGGATTGGGAAAATGGGCGGGAAAATGTTTAATAATGGAGTGACATGTGAAACTTTTGCATATAGTGTCCTTTGTTTTAGTATAGTTAATAGATAGATGGTTACACTTATATTTTTTATTTTTCTAATTTTTGGGAAACATGACCTATTTTTAGAACCTCTTTCTAATTTTTTGCCTCGTAATCTTTATTTTATTGTTGTCAAAAAATCTTTATTTTATCATTATTGTTTTTTATTTGTTATGAGTTTACTGTATTATTTTATGACTTAACAATTAAGTTAATTTTGTTTTTCTTTTGTTTTTTTACTGTTAATTTAATTACAATAATTCTAATGGAAAGAGATATGTAATCATTAATTACTTCAATCGAAAATATTAAAATTTCCTAATGTATCTTTAAATTATTTTACTTAAAAGTAAAATGAGACAATATTAGCGAGACAGATTGGCTATCGGTTGATGCAAATATCTAAGTATTGTTCATAGGAATAAGTTAGGCAATAAAAGCCCTGAAGTAGGCAACATCTAGTTAGGGTTGCATACCAACGATATTCTACGATAGACAATAAAAGTTAGTTGTTGACTGTTGTTTGGTTTATGACAAACATGTTCATGTGATATGGCCGGGCACGCAAATAACGGAATTTTATGGGATTCACACATCATCTCATCTTCTTGTAAATCGTTAAACTTTGATTCCAAATGCATGGGAATGGGAAATTTTAACGTACATCCATTTCTTTTTTCTTTTTTGTTTTTTTATTTATTTTGGTTTGTTATAAAAGTTTGATGATGTGATGGATCACATTTATTGATATAGGTTGCTAGTGAAAGGGAATTGTATGCGAGGGATGTCCATCTAATTAGCATCGTTCTGAGGTGAAGTTGATAGTTCATGTAAAAGGAGGCTTAGATAAGTTAATGAGGTTCGCGATGTTGCCTGCCACCAACATCATGGATGGATGATTATGATACGAATTTTGGTGGTTGTTTACGAGTAAATTATGATGGTATGGTGTGTTTAAAACCATTATATATGATGCATTCAAGAACACTAAAGAGATGCTTTCACAAGGTCACACTATAGCATGCATGCACGTGAAGAGGCGTGTATGGTATGGTTGGTATATAATACGTGTAGTGTCAACCTACACATGTATGTCTTGAACAATAGTAGAAGTATCATCAACACATTGATGTTTCATCTATTGATGTAGTATTAATTATCAAAGTTAATATGATGTAAATACACGATCAAGTGTTGTGTTTTTGGCCACCAATAAGTATACTATAGTGAATAGTGTACACTTAATTACTATAAATCTTAACAAATACACCATATATACTAGTAAGTAATACATGTACTCCCTCCGTTTTTAAATACTTGCTCCATTTCTCCATGCGCGGAGTTTTAGAAGAAATTGGAGAAAGTAGTAAAATATGGAAGTAGTGGGATAGGTGGAAGAATAAAAATTGTAAAAAAACAAAAGTAGTTGAGAGGATTAGAGGAGAGAGAATATGAAATTAATAAAATATGATTTATGTTGGGTCCACTAGGTGAGAGAAATGAATTAAATATTGCAAAATCTTTCCAAATAAGAAATGGAGCAAGTATTTAAAAATGGCCGAAAATGAAAAGTGGAGCAAGTATTTTAAAACGGAGAGAGTATATTAGAATTTTTGGATAAAAAAAAATTGACATAATTGATAGAAGTGTTGGGTTTACCTAAAATTATTATCAATAATCCTTTTTGGATCGGATTCTGCATGGTAATCGTTTTTTTCAATAGTATTAGTTATTAAGCCCTGTTCTTTTGAACTTTTAGGCAGAACAGAATAGAGCAGAGTAGATGTCAGCAGAGCAGAAACATGCCTAGTATGGCAAACCATTTTTCTATAGTAGCGCAACGCGTATAAGCTTGTAGTATATGACTGACTATATGGGAAACACAAACATGAAATAGTGTGAATACAAATGATGGGAATCAGTGGGAGGGTAAAAGACCCGCATTTGTGTCAGAAGAGCCCAAAAATAAAGACCAAACTTATTAAAAATTTAACACTCTTGTAAACATTGGTAGTCAACATTTTGATAGATCAAGCCTTTGTCTCTAATCTTTCAGTTAGTCCCAACTCCCAACTGCTAAGCTACTATGAATTGAGCAACCATGCAGTGTTGCAGTTGCAGTTGCAGTTGAGTTTTTCATCTGTCTACTATGTCGGACCCGGCTAGGAACGAGGCTTGACGGTGAGGTAAACTAACCAAGTGAGAGCTGAATCGCGAAGCACACAGATCATCAAACAAAGAAAATCCCAATTTTATTTTATTTTTAATTTTTTTTTGAAACAAATCAATTTATTAATCAAAAGTCATACAACATCTACAAATAAAATCTAAATCAACAAATACATAAAATTGAATCAAATAAGGGTTTCCTTCATCAAAGCTACGATCGTTGAATAGATATTGCGTTGTGGTACATCTCTCGCACACATCGTTGGAATATACAGTTTTTTCAGAGAGACGGTCTAATGATTTGTTGTAGCCGTAAAAATGATTTTCATCTGATTCACTTGAACGCCTTTGAAGATATGACAACCGTTGCGTTCCCGCACAACTCTTTACCAACGAACTGATAATAGGGCAAAAGATGATTACTTTACCATAGGGAGACACTCCAACATAAGGAGATGGACGAATAATATCTACACTACTCGTGTAAATTTATTAAAAACTAAATTGCAAAACTGGAGAAAAATAAGGGATAAGGGTCAGAAATAGTCTAATTTCCGAAAAAATTAGACTATTTTCGGCCTAAACGGCCAAGAATTTGGAGAAACCCTAAAAGAGAGGAGGAGAGGCGGAAAGGTTTTATTAGAAAAATTTAAGAAAACCCCAATATTGACCACGGTATTTTAAATTTTAAGTTCAAATTTTTAGCACAAAAATTAATATATATAAACTATGTAAAGGAGCAAGAAGCCCATAGCTCAGTGGAGCTAGGCTTCGGTTCCCGTGGCAGTGACCCCAGGTTCGAGGCTCATATCCCCCCTCCCCGGGTGGGTAATACCCCCTGGATATTCCCTTGGTAGGAAATCAAGGTAGAGCCCACCCCTTACCCTTTAAATATTTATATATATATATATATATATATATATATATATATAAAGTTGCGTGAATGAGCTTAACTCCAATAGCCAGAAGTATCTAAGATCACACACTCTTTTACAGAAATCACACATACTAATAAACATATTACAAGTACAAATATTCGAGATATCATGGTTCTGTACCATTTCGATTTCAAGGAAAGACAGCACTACCGGTTGTACTACAATATCATGTTTACATGTAAGATTACAGATGCAGTTATTTTTAACGTGTAGTACTAATACTTCAGAGGACTCCTTGTGGGAGGCAAGGGGCAGTAATGTGTACTTGCTCATGGTGAGGCACCAGCTCTGAGCTCAAAAGTTTCTAATGGACATTTTTAAATCTCAAAGATAATAGAGGAGAACATATGAATAGCACAGGCATTCAATCCATATCAATTTTATACCAATGCCTCTAAAGAGACTCCTCCCTTGAACAAAGTAAGAGTGCCGCATGTACACATGCGTTACCCCTATACAGCACAGGTTACTTTCAATTGCCCTTTCATCCAACATTTGATTGTATGCCACTACCAGTCTACCATTATCCCATAGTTATGTTAACATGTACTAGTAAAAATACTCCATTATACCTACCCAAAATAACACACATTTGACTGCCAAATAGACCAGTTCACCGAGGATAGAAGAACATAAAGCATTTTCAAGTTATCATTGATAGATTGATCTAATTACAGGCAGCTAAGAAGTATAAGTTAGATGTACTATTGTACTTCTAATCAGATACAAAGTCAATAAGCCAAACATAAACAGCAGGACAGTAGATTTGTAATTGCTTGCCTTCAAAAGACAGGGTGCCGATTGACGATCTCTATACAGTGACACCAATCACCTAATTCAATGTTAATATGACAGTTTCAGAATAGTCAAGAAAAATGTTCCAGCTTTAGTGACCTGCATGAGTCATCAGAATGATGAAAAAGGCAGATCATGTGATTCGGAGGAGTCGGCTGGCTGCTGAGTCCAAAGCATCTACATTTCTCTTGAGGATTTTTCTGTAGTGTGATTAAGGATGCCAAATGGCCCTAATACCATATAAAGAAGTAAAAGGAAGCAAAGAAGAAGGAAAAAAAAAAGGGAATCCCACAAGAAGTAGTTTTCAGAGAATTAGATACTTCAATCATTTTTTTTATTTATTTTTTAACTTTTTTATAAAAGGTAAAAAAGTTGGGAGCTAACCCGTTTGGATGTGAATACTCCCTGAACACAAGGCATTCTTGTTCTTAGTGAAAGAAAAATATAATGGGAGTTAGATGCACAACCCTTGGTAACAGTTTTTAAGAAATGAGCCAAAACAGATCATATCAGCAAGGATACAAATGAGCTGCTAAATCATCAATGCCTTTCATCTCATCATTTAACCTGCAAGAAGTACATGAGAAAGAAAACATCACAAATCAGTGGTCAATCTAATTAACTATTCAGTTAACCAGATCACAGCAGAACCAAGCAACTGAAAATTTGCCAAAACCTAATCAGAAATGAGACGGTAAAGCTATCAGACTTAAATTACAGCTTACAATGTCATGAAACAGTAATATAAAAGTGACATCTAGAATATAAATGTACAAATTTTTTTCATAACCTAATGTAGCAAGGTCAAACAACGCATTGGGATTGTGAAAATGTGTGCTGCAAGGCCAAACATTATAATCAAGTACGAATCTTCAGGAGTGCTGAGGGGAGGAGGATGTGTACAGCAAGGTCAAATGGCACATTAGGAATCAAAATGAGAAGCATAAAAGAAAAGGTGTGGATAGCAAGGTCAAAGGGCACATCAACCACAAAAGGTCTATTTCCAAGTATGAGTTTGGTTCGATTTTATGGCTATTTCGAAATTTCTGTTGTAGCAGTAGTAAAGAGATTCAAGAGATGATTCTAATCACCAACTTGACTTTGTGGGGTCCTGTTAAGTGACATGAATCATTCATTGGATTACCAAAACCAAACCCACCCATCACTTACCATTGTTGATGGCATGGGTTGCTAATATCATATTGGTGTTACACACACCATTATAATTGTTTGGTTGTTTAGAATTGTTAATATGGTTGGCAATCCTACGTAAATTACATAAAGAAGTATTATTATTTACGAAGAGAAAACAAAAATTGATAAACACAAACCACCCTTCCTTCCCACAACCACCTAGACCCATTTTCACTCATAACGTGAACATGCCCGAACCCTGAAAAATAGCACATCGGGACCCCGGGAGCTCCCAAAAAAAGGAAATTGACATTGATTGATATTCTAGAACAACTACTCATATCTGCATAAAGGAAATCAGCAATTGCAGTAGATGCACAGACATGGATTCCAAATAGAAGTTTTAGCCTAGACATAAGATACATACCTGATACATGAATGTATAAAACGATTCCCTCTTGTTGCTGCATCAATTGCTGCAAAGTGCAGATAATGACAGTTATGGTTGGGTTATATGCAGTCAGAACTAAAGGTTGAAACCTCTTTTTGTGATTACCTTTCATGTGTTTCGGAAGAACACAAGTATAACCAAGAAAATTTCCCCAAATAAATGAGATTTAAACATTATGGTCTAAGTTACCACATCTAGACCAAAATGTACATCATCAGCATTGTATTCATCATGCCTATGTTAATCGGACACGGCTAATATCGCGAAGTGACTTCACGGACACGGACACGGGACACGTGTCCGATCCTTCACTGTGCACTCGGACACTTCCATTAAGAGAGGAGAGGAAAAAGAGAAGAAACATGAAAGAAAAACATATCTTGACAGAAAACCACCATTAATATAGAGAAGATGGAGAGAAGAAGATTGCCATTTATTAGGAGAACTAGGTTAAGACCCGTGCCATGCACATTCAAAATTAAATTTTACAACAAATAAATTATAAATAATGGTGTCAATTCAACAATAATTTATCTAAAAAAATTATTAGTAACAAAATAATTTGAATTTAGTTTATACCAATACCAAATACGTAAAGATTATTGAATTGGATTGTATAAAAAAATAATATAATAATATAAATTTAGAAGCTATAAGGTTTTATATAAGAGAATTAAAATATTAGCTTAGGTTAATACCCATATACGAACTCATATACATTTATCCTTAAATTGTTGACATACTTTGCCCGGCATAATATGAAAATTTAGTTAATTTTATTTTACTTTAAAAATAATTAGTATTCCGTAATCAAATTTTCAAATATATTTTTAGTGAGTAGTAGGGGTTTTTATTTTTTAAATAATCACATTAATATTTAGAGTAATTAGTTTAAATTTTCCAATATATGTTATGTATACTATAACAAAATGATTTTGTTCTTAAGATTTATACAAAGTATGCTACCAAAATGATTTTTCTTTTTTAATTAAAATAAATTTTATTGTCAAATGATAAAAGTTGGAGAAAAAAAATTGATACTGATAATATTATAATAATCTTGGAAAATAATATACTACAATATCTTATTTTTAATCTATGCTAGTATTTTTGTAATTAAAAGTTTCCTAGTATGTAAAATATATGTAAAAAAAAAAAAAAAAAAAAGAGTATAATTGGATTAAATATGTTGTCAAAATGGAAATAACTATTATTGTAGGTTATAAAATGAATGTCATTAAAATATGGCAAAAAAAAAAAAGGCGGGAAAATTTTTAACCAGAAAATGACAAGTGTCATTCCAGGTTTCGCCTTTAGTATATAGTTATTGATTATAATAATCTTGGAAAACAATATATTACAATACCTTATTTTTAATCTATGTTAGTATTTTTTGTAACTAAAAGTTTCCTAGTATGTAAAATATACGGTATGTAAAAAAAAAAATGAGTATAATTAAATTAAATATGTTGTCAAAATGGAAATAACTATTATTGTAGGTTATAAAATGAATGTCATTAAAATGTGGCAAAAAAAAAAAAGGCGAGAAAACTTTTAACCAGAAAATGACAAGTGTCATTCCAGGTTTCGCCTTTAGTATATAGTTATTGATTTATCGAGGAAAGAATTATAATAAAAAAAAAAATAGGGGTAGACATAATGAAAAATTTAAAGCTTTTATAATATATAATTTATTTATAAAAATTTAAGTGACGTATTGACGTGTCCTCGTACCCGTGTCCAAATATCGGACAGAGTCCCGTGTCCTAAAATTTTGGAACTTGCCGGATCGGACACTTGGACATGTGTCCGTGTCCGACACCCGTTCCCGAGTCCATGTAACATAGCATCATGCATTAGTTTTTACCCAAGCTACAATCTCACAGATGACATCAAACTCCTAAACCATACTCCTTTCTACAATATTTACCACATAATACCATAAAGAACAACACCAAGTCACCCAATCAACTCATGAGCCCTTTTGGAACTTCTGCGAATTGCAAGCTGCAGTATGAAGCTATTGTGACCATAAAATACCCGTGTGCAAAGGTGTAGATGCAGAATTGAACTGTTTTAATCAGCATTATAAAACATGGTGTGTAATTTGCAGGTTTTAGACTCTACAGAAAGAGTGGAGAAGATAGACGAGACAGAGGAGAGGAAATGATCTTTCAATTTGTGTTACTGTAACTCTGTAAGAAGAAGAAAAAAGTCCTCTATACAACACTTAAAAGAAATCCTCATTTCAAATTTGAGTTAAATTGCAGTTCTGTGCAAAGAGACTCTAACAAAGTCAACCAAAAATGACATTCGGACAGATGTAATTTGTCTACTCATGGAAAGCAGGATCTTCTTTCATCAAAAACAATCTGCTTATCTCATTTGAGAGGAATTTGAGTAATGCTAAGAGCTTTAAATTCACAAATAATTTGGAAGTATAGGACAGAATACTGTAGTCTACTTGCTGTTGGACTAGCAAGATATTAGACTTCCTCCAAGGTAGTAAACATTCAAGCAACAAATTTTCTAGAAGTGAGGCACAACCTATAGGGCATAGCCTAAAATGAAGAAGAAGACATCATAAGGATATGCAGGAATACCTTGAGATACTTAAGGACATGACCATTGTTGTAAAATGAGGAGCCTACATGAATTCAGTTAGTTGTTCCATTGCAAAGATAAATCTTATCTAGCATGGGTCAGGAATATAGTTTTCCAATAAGCTTCCTACGGATGATAGGCTTTGGAAAGTGAGCCTCTGGCATATGGCAGCAACTCTGCGTCCATGCAGACCGACAACAAAACCCAAATCAGAACACAATCCTCTCAATCTAAACCATTCCAGAAGCACAGGGTGTGATGCAAAGAGCCCAGGTATTCGAGTTATGAATATTTGTAGACTGTAAGTCTCTAATTATTACGTCCTCAACATAAATATCATTAAAGACAGACGAACATTGTCTGTTTGGTATAACCAGGAGTAAATATTGAAAGACCGAGTATGCTCTTGATAGAAAAAGAAAAACTTGGCATAACACAGGGTGAAGCCTGTTATAGATCATTATGTAAAGACTCTTTTAGCTTGTATACAGTGGATGAAATGGGGATAGACATATAAGGAGTCAATTTTTATGTTTTTTATAACCTTAAGTTAGAGTAGATCCCAAACAAATTGATAGCTATCTACAGCAACAAGAATTCTAACAGTAGTCCTTTTACCAATTCTATGATTTCGTAGGGTGAAAAACCATTCAAAAAAAATGCATGCAAATCCGTCTCTATAAGAATTTTATTGAATCCTACAAAATGCATTTCTAAGCTCCAAGACATAAAGTTTGTTCTTTGTTGTATAATTGCTTCGGTAGATCATATAAGACCTAACAATCTTGATTGTGCGGTGTGCCAGTCAGATTAATTCCTATTACCTCCATTTTTCATTATTACCGGATACCAAATGGGCTGTTGAGCTAACCAATTATGTTCCATTTGTCAGACTAATATATCGACCATAATATCAATAATAATTGTATATCTGTGAGTTACTTCGACCCCAAATCTCCTTATACTTTATTTTGAAATATGTTTAAGGCGATATCTACCTTGCACAATCGTTGCTATCAATAAGAAACACAATATCAATTACACCAATATTATTTCACAATATAGTTGGCAATAAAAAGAAAATGAACAATTGATCCATAAAATAAAAGTCCCAGAAAAATTAAGTAGATAATATACCTGACTCTTGAACCTTGCCTGCAGCATCACTAAAGCATTGGATATGATCAACAGAAGTGTTGGTAATCTAATCATCAAATCCAAAAACCCCAGAAAAAATGAAGTTAATTAACAAAACCCCAGATTAATTAAATAATTCCCAATAAAAAAAAGGGATGATTTTGATTAATGGGTGTACCTCGGAGAGTGCTAATCGGAGAGAAGCGAAGAGAGAGGTGTAGCTCTCAGCAATGGCGAGGGAATCTCTCTCAACTACTTCAAGGGCTTTGAAGAGATCTTCTTGGTTGAAGGTTTTTGAAGCTTCCATGGCTTCTTTATCCTCCATTGATGAATTATCGATTGAACTCATTGAAGCTTCCTTGGCTTCGTTATCTTCCATGTCTTTTACTCTCAAATTGTTTTTCAACTTTTGGAGTTCTGAATTCTGATACCTTTGCACTTTGCCTACAATCGAGTGATTCGAGTCTTTACAAATCGGAAATAGGGTCAAGTAAAATTGGGCATGAGCTGAATCGTGTAGGTTCATGAGTCAGGCTAGAGTGCGTCATATTCAACTAATCCAAGTAGACTATGACCCTGTTCTGTTTGGTAATTAGCTGGTAGTTGATTGATATAACTTATTGTGTTAGCTGATTTGACTAGCTGGTTATATTAGCTGATTTGACTAGATGGTTTTAATTAGTTAGTTTGACTAAAAGTGTTTGGTAAATATCCGTTAATTGTCAGCTGTTTTAGCATATTCAAAAGACAAAAAGCTAATTATTCAATAAGCTAATTTTAAAAAGCTCTTATAATGAGCTTTTTGAGCCCAAAAAGCTCTTTTAATAAGCTATTTACCAAATTAGCTTTTTTAATTGGTCAAACCTCTAATTGGGCAAAATAAGCTAAAGGCTCTTTAAAAAACTCTTTACCAAACAAGGCCTATGTCTAAACTTTGAAGTATGTTAAAGAATAATCGCGTCTGTTAGGCTCATTCTAATTTATCATAAACAACATTCATCATGCTAGCATATCTCTTCGTATTTATGATTACAAATGAGTGCATTGAAATGCAAACTAACTTGTTGTGCTCGTGTTAGGCTCATTCCCCAATTGAAAATGATGTCCATGTATGGCTATAACCCATCATCATGTCTCTTGTGCCACGTTGGGCTTAGGATGGTTTTATGCCAAGTCAGGTCAAATGTGTGTTATATTAAAGAGACCTACGTCCCAACTCTGCTTATGCTTAGCTTTAGGGTCAGGTAAGAACATTCGTTACACACTTAGATGCATTTACCTCACTGTCTCTTGAATCTTACATATTCTTAGTTTCTTAGTATGCTTTTCAAATGAGCTTTTAAGATTTTTTTTATTTAAATCTTTTTTAAGGGTTTACCTTGCCTATGACTTCCTTTCAATTTTGAAAGCAAGCTTGTACACAATATATTAGAAAATGATTAATGCAAAATTACGAAGTCTCCAAAATACGAATTTAAAATTAAACTTTACGGATACAAGAGTTAAAGAATTTGTCAAGTATCAAACTCATGATCTCACCAACTCTATTCTTTGATTTCTCTCTTTCCAAATTCTTAAATATTCCATAACTTCACATTTTGCAATATTTAAATGCTTTAATTTGTTTCTCACGAAAAAAAAAAATGCATTAATTTGTTGTTGACCTGGTTGTTGTTGTAATTTTGTAAATGTAACTATCTTAGTTTTATTGGGTTGACTAAAGTTAGGTTCCAAACCTTCAAACAAATACCTAAGTTTCGTGAAAACGCCAAACTGCCAATTGCTGTCCCGGTGACTCCCAGATTCCCTAAACCATTGACCACGACGTCGCACCACCACTCCACCACCGTATTCTCGCCGGAATTCAGTCAATTGTAAGCTGCTCTTCACTTTCTTCCTTTTCCGTTGTTCCTGACCGGTGTCGCTCGGCTCCCTGACGGTTGACCTAGCCTTCTCAACCGCCGGGACCCTATCGACGGTTGTACAATCAACAGTGCGACGCTTTCATTTGCCATTATTGGTAAGTTTGCTTCACTTTTACTCTCTCCTTTAGCACTTCTTAAAAACTAGACTAGCCTACTCTTAATTGATCAAATTGGGATAATTTTAGTTAGATTGTTTTATATGGTTTGATTATGGAAGAGTAGAATTGCTGAATACTTTGGTTTGATTGATTAAGGGTGCGTTTCGCGCTTATTTTTTTCTTTTTTTTTTTTTGTTCCATCCGGTTCACCCTTTGGACTAATCCATATCCGGATCAGTTCTGGGTGGTTAGGTTCCACTCCCCTCCCAATTGTTGTTGCGGGATCAAACACGCGGTCTTCCCTACCAAGTGTAGTCCTAATCACCACTACACCAACATCACCACTACACCAACAGCTAATTGGTTAATTTTCATTTATTTGAACTTAACCGAACTTATTTTGATCGTAAATTGATTGTGGATGGATTTTTCCTGAAATAAGTGTAAATAGATTGAGCACAACATACTGATAGCCTAAGAGAGGCATTGATTTTGCTTCTCATTAGATCTTTGGGATTAAGGCTTTGATTGTTGTCGTAAATGGAATTTGTTCATTTTGCAGGTGCCTCTTGCGGTCTCTTTGCTGAATAGCCAGCGTTTCCCAATACTTTCAGCCTTCAGTTCACCTTTATTCGAGTTCTGCTGCAGTTAAGCAGCTATTTAGCAATAATGATATTTGTTGGCGGGGTTTTGTTTGAGCGCAATTCCACCAATCAGGTACCTTAAGTGTAATAATCTTGCTATAGTACATGTTTAGCAAATGTACAATGCATCATTCTTTTCATGCTCAGATGTTAGTGCTTAGAGTGACAAAATGAAAGATAAACTGTTTTACACACGAAAGCATGGTAGGGCGGGGAAGGCTGGAAACTCAGGGTTCTAGAAGCATGGATCATTGTTTAGAGAATATCACTTCCACTGCAGAAACTAAATATTTTTGGTAAAATTGATCTGCTTTAATTTTAGAAACTGCTTCGTTTTTCCTTCTTTATATCTCCTCGCCAATTTGGGGGGGGGGATTGAGCAGTTATTGATGTTGAGCTATTACTTTTTCTATGTTGGTTTGGGGTAGAATAGTTAACCATGTGTTACTGTCCTCCACGGAGGTCATTGTTATGCTCTTCTGCTTTATACTTCTATGGGGATAGTGTCCCATCTTCTTATACTCTTATGTTTACTTTATTGTTTCCTAAATAATATTATCCTCTCTATTTAAAAGAATGATGTAACTATCTGTAATGTTCAAGTCATCCTATTAGCTAGATTATATGGCTTTTCTCATAGTGTTCTTGAAATTTTTTAATATATTTGATAGGGAAATTGTGATCTTGTTGCTCTGATGACGCACCCTGTTCTTGTCTCTGCTTCACTCTCTTTCAAAGCAATCCCTGAGAAGAAGTTTTCGACTTCTGATGCATCTTCAGATGAACTCACAAAGAGCAAGCATGTTTATTTGTTTCAAAGAGAATATGCTACAGTGGACCCTATGCTTGTGGATGTAGGTCAACATAATACTTTACTTTGAGTCATATATTTACACATGTCTTTATAAAGTTAGTTCATGTTTGTGCTCTTTTTTCCTTTTCTTCTTCTTTATGTGACTGTGAATGGGTGTTTTCATGTAAATTGCATTTGTAATTGTTATTCAAACTACATTATTTTAATGGATTCCAGATAGCTGGGATTAGTAAAGTGGTGTCATAAAATTTGTGAAGAGGCTTAAGACTCTAAATGGGTTTCATATGAAGGAAATGTCGTATTAGTTTGCAACTTTGTAGACTTCCTTACGGAAAAAGAGCTGTAAAGGCGGTGATGGCCATTTATATCATTATATGTGAAACTCTCAAATTATGCTTTCTTAATGCTAGTACATCTATCTATGATTTTCCATTGTCTGCTAACTCTGCTTAACTTAAATTTATTATGTTTCGTTGCTTTATTTTATTTTCAACAAAGTTTATTGGCACGGACGAAGCGACTACTTGTGTGGGCATTGTAATTAGGAACCGGAACAATGGAATGTAAGTTCCATTGGTTTAAGGTTCAGCTAACACGGAACTCTCTTAGATAGCTAGATTCTGTTTATCTTATTTACTTGGCTCTCTTCAGGACTTCAGTTGCTCACTTGGATTCTCCAAAGATTGTAGACCTTGGCCTGTCTCAAATGCTGTCAAAATTAGGAGATTGTGGACATGATACTGAGCTGGATGTAAGTTTAGTGTTAAGTTTACCTTTGTGTATTCTGACTTACACAAGTTTTGACAGTCTTAAGGCACATTTTGCAGGTGCATCTTATTGGAGGGTTTGAAGATAACCTAGATAAAGTCTGAGTAACCTCTAAACTCTTTTGTTGTTTTACTTGGTCTCTCTATCCAGCTAGAGGCAGAACTCAAAATGATTATTTTTTTTGTAATTTTTTAATGCAGCATACTGAACAAACTGGAGGCAGTTCAGAGCAGAAGGACCATTCTTTTCCTCTGTGTGCAAAAATTATCAAAGCCTTGGGAAAGAGTGTGGTAAAGTTTCATATCCAAACTCTGTTTGTTCTTGGCCACAATACCAGAAAAGATACTGCAGGGAATGCACTTCCGATATTCAGCGGTGTGCTGGTGAGCAATGAGACTTTAAATTGTTTTGGTTGATCCTCTATATATTTCATGATTGCATCACAATTTCCGAATTGCAAGTCAATTTAAAATTACCACCAGTGAAAAATTAAGATATGTACTACCTCTTTTCAATATAGTTGCAATGTTGTGCCCTTTTCACCACCAGACTTGGTTGGAAGGAGTTAGGAAGGATATGAAATATATGGTTTGCATGAGGATGAAGCATTGGATTATAAGGGATGGAGGAAGAAGATTTTTGTTGATGACTACACGGAATAATTTTTTTTGGTTCATGTAGCCGACCCCACTTATGGGATTAAGGCTTTGATTGATTGATTGATTGACTACCTTTTTTCAATATAGTTGCAATGTTGTGCCTTTTTCACTTTGTCTAAACACAACTTTGGCTATAAATTTTTGTATATACTTTGAAAATACACAATGAAACTAATCCTGAATATTTTACATATTAGTATTAAATTTTATATATAAGTAAAAAATGTAATCAAAGTTGATAAATAAATGGTGTAGTAAGTTAAAACAATGAATGTATTGTGAAATGGAGGTAGTATATACCTAATATCTATGTACTCTATATTAAGAAGTTAAGATTATTTTGAAAATTTGTGTTTTGATAATCTAATATTTTAATTTTAGTAAGGCTTGAACTGTCATTTCTTTGCAAATTTATGTTTTAGCTTTGCAAACCTAAAGTACTGTACTTCTTATAATATTGGTACCTAAAACTCTTAATTAGGCTTTACTAGCAATTAAAATCTAACTTAAAGCTTCAAGTGTGATGAGGTTTCATATCCAAACTTTATTTGTTTTTAGCCATATTACCAACAAGGAATGCACTTCGATATTTAGTGGCATCCTAGCGAGCAATGAGCCTTCACATTCATTTGGTTCATTTCAGGTAGAAACTACTCATGATTTTGTGCTGTGTCCCACAATAGAATATTATTTCCTATCGGTATCCATATTGCCTGCTTTCAATATGATTAAGTAGGTTGGATGTACCTCGAAATAGCTTAAATAAAATGCATTTAGACCACTTTGTTTTGATCTCATAATTTGTTTCATTTCAGGTAGAAACTAGAACAGGAACTGTCATCCCAGCCACATTTGATCAGACCACAAGATGCCCAGATGAAATTGTTAGGAGAATCCGCATCTCTGGTTCTTTTATGGACTCTCGTTGGAGAAATAAGTTACTCGAGACATATGACACTCAAACTGACCGGTTCATTATTGCCCCGTGCTCTTGGTAAAAGTTTTTTGTAGCTATTCTATTTGCTAGCGGCCATCCTAGATTTTCTTTAAGATTAAGATTATCTTATATGCCTTAGTTATTATAGCTTCTTATATGTAGGTTTTATTATCTATTAGTATACTAAATGCTCTCAAATGATTTAAGTTTCTTTTTAGGCTCATTGCTGTTTTCTGATGTGGATCATGTGATTACGACTGTTGCAGGAGTTCACGCCTTGTACGTATGGCTTCTTTCCTACAGCAGTTTCCTGATTCTGAAGTTCTTCGTACTTGTTCTACTTCACCTTTTGCTGAGGCCCCAGACTTTGTGCATAATCAAAGAAGGTTTGAGTTGTCTATATATTTGTCAACATCAGCATTTGCTTTGAAATTTCACATTTATATGTGCTTTCACACTCCCTGTCTGTCACTGATCACTGATCAGCAGATGAAAAGGTGATAGTGTGATATGAAGGGTGCTTTATTTGAATTTTTAAAACAGATGTTGCATTGCTGTAGTCCAGTAGAGTTTATTATTTATCGTCTTCAACCTCTCTCGTGACAAGCAAAAAAGGGAATGCTATCTAGCCTTGGGAAAATGTAGAAGTGACGAAACCTTTGCAGCGTATAAAGAGGCTAAGAGTAAGGCAAATGCAGCTGTTCGCCAAGCAAAAGAAAAGGCTTATCAGGAGGTTTATGAAAAGCTTGATTCCAAGGAGGGAGGATAGATCATTTATAAGATGGCAAAGAGAAGACAAGAGACAAGGAAAGATATTGGCATGGTGAAGTGTGTCAAAGATAAGAACCAAATGGTCCTAGTACAAGAGGAGGACATCAAGGACAGGTGAAAGGGGTACTTCGATGAATTGTTTAATGGAAGTAATGGAGTTGTGACAGGAGATACTTCCGTGAGTGATGAAGAAATCAACATGGAGTATATGCGGAGGATTAGGAGAGTAGAGGTGGAGATTGCACTGAATAAGATGAAGCCTAAGAAGGCGGTTGGCCCTGATGGTGTACCGATAGAGGTGTGGAGGTGTTTGGGTAAGATTGGTATTGATTGGTTAACAGACCTTTTCAACAAGATATGGACGGCTACAAGGATCCCGCAAGATTGGAGGAAGAGCACCTTGGTCCCGGTCTATAAAAACAAAGGAGACGTTCAAGATTGTTCTAACTATCGAGGGATCAAGTTTATGAGCCACACTATGAAGTTGTGGGAAAGGGTGATTGAACATAGGTTTAGGGCATGCACAAGCATTTTGGATAACCAATTTGGTTTTATGCCCGGGAGATCTACTATGGAAGCAATCCATTTGATAAGACAAATGATGGAGTTGTATAGGGTAAAGAAGAAGGATCTTCATATGGTCTTTATTGATTTAGAGAAGGCATATGACAAGGTGCCAAGAGAGGTACTTTGGTGGGCAATGTTGAAGAAAGGTATCCCATGAAGGTACGTGGACCTGGTTAAGGATATGTATCGGGATGTGTCAACAATTTTGAGCACATGTGGAGGGTTGACAAAAGATTTCCCTATTACAATTGGATTGCATCAAGGGTCTGCATTAAGCCCTAATCTTTTTGCAACGGTTCTAGATGAAGTAACTAGACCAATTCAAGATGAGGTTCCATGGTGTATGTTGTTCGCAGATGATATCGTTTTGGTGGATGAAACTAAGGATGGGGTTAATGCTAAGTTGGAGCAATGGAGGCAAAGGTTGGAATCTAGAGGGTTTAAGCTAAGTCGGAGTAAAACTGAATATTTGGTATGTCATTTTGGTACTCAGAGGGGGACAAGCAATGAAGTGGTGAGTTTGGATGGAAAGGATTTGACCATGAGTGAATGTTTTAAATATCTTGGGTCGATTATCCAGAAGAATGGTGACATTGATCAAGACGTGGCTCACAGGATTAAGTCGGGGTGGCTTAAATGGAGAGCGGCCACGGGAGTGTTATGTGACCGAAGAATTCCCTTATAGTTGAAGGGAAAAAATTCTACCCATAAGACCAGTGTTGCTCTACGGTACAGAATGTTGGGCTTCTAAGGAGCACATTAAAAAGCTGGAGGTTACGGAAATGCGCATGTTAAGGTGGATGTGTGGGAACACTCTAAGAGATAGAATCAGGAATGAGGTTATTCGTAGGAAAGTAGGTGTGGTAGACATTGCAGATAAACTAAGGGATAATCTCCTGCGTTGGTTGGGGCATGTAAGATGGAGACCCGAAGGTGTACCGGTGCTAAGAGTGGAAGAGTGGGACCATGGAGGGGTTAAACGAGGGAGAGAGAGACCGAAAATGAATTGGTTGGAAGGAGTTAGGAAGGATATGAAGTGTATGGATTTGCATGAGGATGAAGCATTGGATCTTAAGGGATGGAGGAGGAAGATTTATGTCGATGACTACACGGAATAATCAAATTTGGTTCATGTTAACCGACCTCACTTATGAGATTAAAGCATTGATTGATTGATTCAGCTTCTCTCGTGGTCAACCTGTTTTTTAAAGCTATCTACAAATTACTCCTGTTTCATAATGACACGTTTGACTTTTTTTCATAACTTTGATCATGTTTTTATTTAAATTTTTTTTTTTCTCGCTATTATACAAAATAAAATGTTAATAAGTAAGTTGTTGGATTTATCTTAATATATATTATTGAAATATCAAGTTTTTATTATATATATTAATACGTAATTAAAGATATAAATAGTCAAAGTTGAGAAAAAAAGTCAAATGTGTTAATTATTATGGAACGGAGGGAGTACATCTTAAATTCATCGGTGAAAAATTCCGTCTATTACTCTATTGCTGAATCTTCATCGGGTTTTTGTTAGTATTATATAGTCATCTAGAACAGTTATTGTCTAAGCTATTAATTTTGGCGGTATGATAATTGTGTGCTACAAATGCTATTTTTTTTATTCTTTTGTTTAATGTTCCAATATTTATTTCAACTCCCTTTGTGTTGCCTTCAGGCAGTGGGATTATTTGATTCAACATCCAAATTGGAAGGAAACTTTCCAAATGGAAGAAGCACGCATATTTACAAGGAGTGCTAGTGGAGGATGGATAATGGTTGAGCCAGGTAGTGATTTTCTTCCTCATCAACTTTTTTTTTTTCCTTCCTGAGTCAAATTATAATTTATCAAGGGCATCCCATATGAGTTTGCATTTTTTTTTTTCCCATATGTGTTAGTAATTGGAAGAAATCAAGAAATTAGATGCATATGATTAGTAATCATGTTTTTATGAACCGATCCTGGGCTTCAATCTTTAGCTTATGCTTTTGGTTAAGTTGGGCCTTTTTGACATGGTATCAAGAGCTAGCGTGACAAAAAGGTCATGGGTTCAAATTTCATTCACCTTTCCTTTTAGCGCTGGATATGGGGAGGATAATGTTGCATCCACATTTCAAGCCCAATGGGCTTTAATGTGAGGAGCGTGATAGAGTTTTGCTAGTGATTATGATGTGACGTAATTTTGTTGCAATTTTCGTGTCAGATGAATGACTGTTGTGTTCTTATCCCGACTTTATAGGATTTTAATTATGATGTGACGTAATTTTGTTGCAATTTTCGTGTCAGATGAATGACTGTTGTGTTCTTATCCCGACTTTATAGGATTTTCAGCTAATCTAGATGACTAATGAGAGAGTTAGTTGTCGAGCATAATTCTCTCATTTACATCAAATTCTAGGACCAACTCTTGTTCGGACTCTATTACCTAAATTTTCTAGTTTGATGTCTTTGATCGTAATTGCTCAGCTTTGTTTTGATTGTCTACAATCTTAACCTCTTAGTTAATGTAACTTTGATACCTAGTATAGCTTGCTTTTATTTGAACAACTCCTAAGAGATAATGTCAAGCATCACATGGAGGTTGCAGCATTCAGGTTAAGCATTACATGGAAGCTTGCCTCTGTCTTGATGGCAGCGCCTTTTTCCCTTGCTTTACATGTTTAAAATACAGATTTGTTGAGTAGTCTCCTCTATGGCTCTATCTATAATTGTTTGGTAAATTTCAACATCTTCTCGTTCTGTACTTCTGTTGGTCACCTAGATATGCTTTTGCACATCAACATTATTTTCTGATATTTGTCTAGTTTCTGATGCTGTATGTTCATCTACTAATTAAATAGTTTTTATGTCCGATTTTAGTTTTTATTAGTTAACTCGTGTCTCTGGTATAAAATTTGCCAATAACTAAGCATAATTCTATTTTCTTTGATGTGATGTTGAAGTGATTTTTTATGCAATATTTCAGCACACGAGGCGGCTGACTGATGTTTTCGGCGCTCACATAGATTGTCTTTGACAAGTTGAGCGAATTTATTCCACATTGTTGATTTGACTCATTTGACAACGTTGTGGCTCTTGAAGTTTGCCTGCCTTTTTCTGTATCAAATGCTGCATACTGTGAGTGGGTGAGGAGTTTTTCAACAAATCCGTCAGTCCATTTAAACTTTTAAAGCAACTAAGTGTAAAACTAGCATACCATCGTATGATTATAAGTATATTTGGGTAAATATTTTTACAAGTGGTACACTGTCAGGAAAATATTGTACTGTTGAGATGCTTTGTTTCTTTTTTCTCAATTTGCAACACTTGCACTTATTTTTTGAGAAAATTCTATTTTTGTACTATTTATATATAGTACTACAATTATTTCTTTTGTGCTATGTACTTCCTACTTGTATTTAAGAAAAAAAGGCTGTCAAAAAAAAAAAAAGAAAAAAAATTGTAAAATCTTGATGATTCCTTTAATGTATATTTACACAATATCAACATTGATAATATATAATGTTAACAGTTGAATTTATTATACATTGACAAGTGTAAAAAAAAAAAAAAGAAATGTAATAACTATATAAAAATGAAGGACTCTGTATTGTAATTATTTTTCAGTATATTAGGTTTGAAGATATATTATTTGTCAAACTTGGAAAGGTGTAGATTCAAAATTTCATATGTATTTTATTTTTATTTTATTTTTATTTTTTTTTTTATTTTTTTTTGAGGGGAGAATATTATTTCTAATATATATTCATATAGTTAAGAAAAAATATTGAAGAAAGCCTGTAACTTTTGAACCTTTCTCGCAAGGTGTTTTAGCCCTTGCGGATTTGGATGCTTCATAATAATATTGTTGCTCCTCTGCTTTCTTTCAAAAAAAAGAAAATATTGAAGAACGTATTAGCTTAATTTATCAAAATAACTAGCATCTCACAAGGACTAATTAGTCAATATATATTTACATTCCTAATCTGCCATGCTAGGAATAAATAGATTGTCTAATTTCTTTTGCCAACAGTGTTCTCATATGATCCCTTAATTCATTTGCCAATTTATTCACTTTATTGTAATTTTCTTTTTTATTGAGTGATTTATGTGCAAATCATTTCTTCAACCCTCAAAATTTTTTAAGGTTCCTAAATTAGATAAGTTCAAAAAAACGTTATGAGTTGTATAAGTGTTATTTACCCTCCATTTTATTCTTCTTTTTCTCCAAGGAAAATATCTTAAACATGTATATTTGATCAAATAGATATATTTTTTTATTGGAAGTTACTTATTCTTGTAATGGCTTATAGAGTAGATCATGAATATGATTATCTATTCAAGATTGTCTTGATCGGAGATTCAGGTGTTGGCAAATCCAATATTCTGTCAAGGTTTACCAGAAATGAGTTTTGCTTGGAATCCAAGTCAACAATTGGAGTTGAATTTGCTACAAGAACGTTACAGGTGAGTTCATCAAATATTTTATGCAATGTTTTATGTAATCAAATCATCGATCTTTTCGTCAATTAATGAAAATCCACCTATCACAAAACTATTTTCGCACAAAGCACGGTGCATAAGGGCATCATTCTTGGTGCTATCAGGTGCATGGTATAAGTGTAGTATTATTGCAAACTATATACTTCATCCGTTCTTTTTTTATTGCATTATAGGGGTTTTGGAAGCAAAATTTGGTAGTGGGAAAAAGTAAGAGAGAGAAACGTAAAAATACAAAATTGTCCATGTAATACAAAGATAAAATAGAAAGTAAGTGTGAAAAGGTAAGGGCATGTTGGGTATTTGCAGTGTGAACATATATATTTTTTGTCCTAAAATGGAAGTGATGCAATATTTGTGAAACTTCCCTAAAAAGCAAGTGATGCGATATTAAAAGAACGGAGGAAGTATATATATTCGTAGCTGAGTTTGCCTTGTTATCTGCTCTTATTATTTGGTATCCTATCATATAAAGTATTGCGAAATGAGTATAACAGGAATATTACATACTTTATATTGGTATATGAGAAACCTTGAAACTGTGTACTTGTAGTATAAAGTACTGTATAATTGTATTATACATAAAAATCTAGGCACGTAAAATAAAATTACCCAGTGTAAAATTGAAGGTATAGTTGTTTAGAAAAAAATGACGTTCTCATCAAGGGAGAAAAGAAAAAAATCTTAAACACGAGAGTTTGTGTAAGAGGAGTGATCAATTACACGCATTATTCATTTTTTGCGTCTAATACAGTGAGATTGTGAGAGTACACAATATTATTTATTTATTTATTTTATTTAATTTAGTAAGTACACGTTATTTTCATAACTAACGTATAAGAGTGTGAGAATTACAGTGAGAGTTCACAAATAACTTTATTTTATCATGTTCGTGGTGAGATTTGATGATTTGGATGATGAGAAATATAGTAGCGTGATGAAGTTCAAGAGGATTTTTTTTGTGATTTTCTGCGGATTGTTTGATGATTACATATTGCATTTAAATGATGACATGATGCAGATTTTATTTTATTGTCCAAGTCGGACGTTCGAGATCTACACCTCCCGACTTGAGGGAGGGTATTGAGATAGGATTGTGTATGTTGATATGATATTATGAGAATAATCTAATATATCATATCACTAATAAATAAAGCCGGTCTCGCAGTCAGACCACGAGACAGCGGCACTTGACATTCCAGTTTTTCGTCAAGTGTCGCGCCACGTAAGAGATAAATAGGTATTATTGTAACACATATGATGTTAAGTAAGCGATTTTTGGATAGATTTTATAAGATAAAATTGTTGCATAGAGTTTTATTATCGATAAAATTCTAATATTTCATATATACAAAATTAATCATAACTTTTGATAAATATCCTGTAACTCAATTCTATTTCCATTATCAAATTCGTTTTAAAAAGTTCTTTAAAATAAGATCCATTTATAATATATTTAATCACAAACTTTTACACGTAGCTGGCCAAACCTTGTCACCAACTATTACAAGATCAGAGTTACTTCGTTAGTGCTATAGGGGTTACTTGGTCAGCGTTATAGTAGTTACTCAATCAGTGTTATAGATAGGGGTTATTTAGTCAGTGTTAGAGGTTACTCGATCAGTTAGTATTATAGGGGTTACTCAATCAGTTTTATAGAGGTTACTTTGCCGGCCAGATGGTGTAATTAGCCGCATACAAAATGCATTGTAATTTAATTTATTTTTTTAAAAAATAGATAATTAGTAAAATAAGTATTAATCAGCAAAAATAATTTTAGTTTGGTAAAAATACTTTAAGTTCAATGAAAATAATTTACGTTCAATAAAAATAATTTTAAGCCAATAATAACATAGATATCTATTTACAAACAAAACTATACAAGGTACACTCCATATAATATCGTATGTCTAAATATCCTACATTATCACAACGAATTATTTGATCGTATTTAACATTCAAGTAAAAATGTTATCTTAAATTTTTTATAACCATCTGGACATCGCCCGGGCACAAAACTAGTCACTAATAAATAAAGCCGGTCTCGCAGCCACGCCACGAGACAACGACACTTGGCATTCCATTTTTTCACCAAGTTTCGTACCACATAGGCGACAAATAGGATGCTAAATAATCGAATTTTGGATAGATTTTTTAAGATAAAAATATTGTATAGAGTTTTATCTTCGATACACTACTAATAATTCATATATACAAAATTAATCATAACTTTTAATAAATATCCTATAACTTGGTTCTATTTTCATCATAATATTCGTTTTAAAAAGTTTCTTAAAATAAGATCCATTTATAATATATTTAAAATAATAGAGAATTAGTAAAAATAAGTTAATCGGTAAAAATACTTTTAGTTTAGTAAAATTATTGAAGTATGATATCGCATGTCTAAATATCCCGCATTATAAAAAGTGATTATATATATGACCGTATTTAACATTCAAGCCAAAAGGTTTGTCCTAAAATTCAATAAACAACTTGGGCATTGTCTGGGGCACAAAACTAGTATATCATATCACTAATATATAAAGCTGGTCTCGCAGCCAGATCACGAGACAACGACACTTGGCATTCCACTTTTTTGCCAAGTGTCGCACAACGTATGTGAAAAATAGATATTATTGTGACATATAGGATGCTAAGTAAGTGGTTTTTGGATAATTTTTTATAAAGATAAAATTGTTGTATAAAGTTTTATTATCAATAGAATTCTAATATTTCATATATACAAAATTAATCATAACTTTTAATAAATATCCTATAACTTTATTCTATTTCCATCATCAAATTCGTTTTAAAAATTTCTTTAAAATAAGGTTCATTTATAATATATTTAATTTATTTAAAAAAATAGAGAATTAGTAAAAATTAAACAATTTAAATTCAATAAAAATAATTTCAAGTCAATAATAACATAGATTTTCACAAACTAAACTACAAAAAGTACACTATTATTTAATTAAATAAGCGATATGACATTGTATGTCTAAATATCCAACATATCAAAAGGGATTGTAAGACCGTAATTAACATTCAAGTAAAAAAGTTTATATTGAAATTTTATCGACAATCTGGGCATCGCCCGTGCACAAAACTAGCATATATATAAAGGGGAGTTTTTTCCCGAGTTTTAAGAGAGCTACATAGGATTAAATATTATTAACGCGCCATGTAGGACTAAAAATGTTAGTTATGACCAATTAAATAAAAGATTTGTAAATTCTTTTAGAATTAAATAATTCAAATGCCGCATAAGCAAAATTGGCGAATGAGATTTTAAAGTTTAAATTAATTAAATATAAATTATTATCTTTTGAGATAAGGAATTTTATCTAAATATATAACAAAGGGAAGGAAATTTACAATTTATTTTAAAAATATTCTAGTGAATATCTTGTGAGAAAGATATATATGTGAGATATTGTGATGGACTTAGGAAGTTAAGATATTTAGAAATATTAGGGTTAGATATTCCTATTGTCTATATATATTGTAATGTGACCGAATATTAAGAAGGGAAAATACAATGGGAAAAAATACGGAGAGAGAAATATTTTCACCACAATTTAACATGGTATCGATCAAGAGTCTTGGGGTTTTTCACAAAAATTTTCTCCCTGCCGATGGGTTGAAAAAGTAAACTCACCGGTGGAATAAACTTTTAGCCAAAATTACATTTAATAATAAAAAATAAAAAATTCCGCTGTGCAAGTTTTTTGGGTTGGTATACTTGATATATATATATATATATAAGTGAACTTTCTCCCATAATAAAATAGAAAAATCACGTTTGGCGCAATATTTTTATTATAAAAAAAAAGAAGATTTTTCGGCTCTCTTGTGTTGTGAGACAAGATATATTGGTTCTCCGTTCTCCTTGTGCTGTGAGACAAGGTTTATTTGTTGATTCTCCTTGTGCCGTGAGACAGGGTTTGTGATTTGATTCGAGCTGATTTTGCTCCTTTGGATATGAGTTTGGTTTTGCTCTAAAATAAAACCAATAAGAGATTTGAGTGTGGTTTGCTCTGAAAAACCAATATTGATTGGAGCACGGTTTTGCTCAAGAAAAACCAAAATACAACGAGTTCGAGAAGAAGAGAAGTTCTCGTTGTAATGTTATTTTTACAGGTTCAAAAAGAATGATGTTCCTGCTTGTTTGATGATTGATGGGTTCGAAAAGCTGAACGTTCTCATCATTCAAAAAGAAAAAATAAATTCAAGGCGACATAAAGTGAAGAATTTCCATGTTACTGCCGTTACGATTGCGGGAGGGTGTTAGAGATATGAGATCAAATCATATCGGAAATAGATGTGTGATATATTTTCCATATTGATATTACCGTGAGAATAATATATTTAGGTTTATTTGTGTTAAAGATATTATTTAGTGAATATATCTCTAGGATATATAGTTATTATAGTATATTTTTTAGGAAGATTGTTTCCTATCTTATGAGCGTAGACAAACCATTTAATTCTCTCCTCACCCAAATTTGTCAGTGTAAGTGCAGGTAGAAGGCAAAGTGGTAAAAGCACAAATATGGGACACAGCAGGGCAAGAAAGGTACAGAGCCATAACAAGTGCATACTACAGGGGAGCTGTAGGAGCCCTGTTAGTGTACGACTTAACCAAGAAGCAAAGCTTCGACAACGTTAACCGATGGCTTCATGAACTACGTGACCACGCAGATTCGAACATCGTGATAATGTTAGTTGGCAACAAGTCCGATCTTAAGCATCTGAGGGGTGTTTCCGAGCAGGAAGGGCAGTTCTTAGCCGAGAAGGAAGAGCTTGTTTTCCTCGAAACATCAGCCTTAGACTCAACCAATGTTGAGAAGGCTTTTCAAACAATTCTCTTAGATATTTACCAAGTTATTAGCAAGAAATCTTTAGCTGCTCAACAAGCTTCTGGTTCTTTACCTCAAGGCACCAACATTAATGTTGGGGTTAATAATATTTTTAACAAGAAACCATGTTGTTCCAACTGATACATTTTTTTTTCTTATTTTTTTTTTCTGTTATTTTTTCCCTCTTATGATGTAATTTTATTTTTTAGGAGGGTGTTGAGTGAAATTTGTTGCAAGGGAAGGAATTGAAAGGAACTTTATTAGTACCACAAAGACATAAGTAGTGTTGCTTGATAGTGATAAATTGTACAAGAATAACAAATCTTGAAATATTTGCAAGCTAGTTTGTCAATTACTGTAATGATTTATTGTGTTACTCCCTTTGTTTTTTTTTTTTTTTTTTTTAAATTTTTTTCACGTAGGATATTGTTACAACTTGTATTTTCATAATATCAACTTTATATATATATTTTTAACAATTCATAATTAGAGTTATTGATATAGTATATAAACTGATTCGGAATTCAATCACCCGCTTATGTTTTTGATTGAAGTGCTCCTCATATATGGTATCAAGAGCTGCGTTGTGACAAGGGATCATGAGTTCAAAACTCATCCACCTCTAACCCCTTTCAAATTATCAAATTAAAAAATGTATAAAATACAAATGGAATGATCTGTAAAGAACAAAGCGAGTATATTTTCAAATAAAGTAGGGAATATAAAATACAGTACTCTGCGTGTCTGAATACATATTTGTGGATAATAACCACAAGTAGAATCGATGGGCATAGGCTATCTAGTCCCCCTCGAATCAATCTTTACAGTAGTATTCCTAGCAGAAACCTATCTAGCCGTTGGTAACTCGCATATTCACAAAAAAAAAAAATCTGTTCATCGAATCCATTTCGGAGACAACGTTCAATTGTTACACCATTAATATTCCGAGGTTTTTTTTTTTTTTTTTTCAAGGTAGAGAAATGAAATTCCTTAGAATTTTAAGTACGAAGATTTGAAACCAACGTAACTTAAGGCTTTTTATATATATCTATATATATATATTTTTGGTGTTTAGAGAGCCTACAAGGGCGAGTTTTTAGAAACGATCCCATGATCACCTGGAATCGAGAGGGAAGCTCTAACCACTTGAGCTATCTCTCACTCTCGGCTTTTTATATAAGAAGGTAGAATTTGTAACATTAGATGGAATTATTAAGCATTAAATCACAAATAAGAGTTTTATTTTGTTGTTCATAATGTTCAAGATACAATTATTGTACAGTAGCATGTTGATACACTACTTGAACTTTATTTTATACTTACCTAAGTGATTTTAGAATTATTGTACAGTAGCATGTTCAAACCTTATTTTTCCATATTATTGGCATTATAGTATAATAACTTCTTTTAGAAACGAACAAACAATTGTGTGACCACATGTCATTGTGAGTGGAGGAAAGGGCGATGAAGAACTCCCAAAGATGCCATTAAACTGATCGAATAAAGCTATCTTGGCATGCTTTTCAGTAACATATAAGCTAATTTACTTTTCATTTCAACTTATAAACTTAGATGTTGATGAGAGAAATAATTATTAGGGTAAAACCGACTCGTTCTTTCTGAAAATTGGTAATTTTTATATTGACCTAGTTTCTATATAAATCACATCTAAAAAAATTTCAACAACCATAACTTATTTCTACCTTTTAACCAAATAAACTTCTAGCTTCTTTCTAATTTTAGTTACCGTTGCAACACTACTTGAGATTTTGGCATTTGATTGATGCTGATTTCTCTACATGTTAGCAATGATGTACATATGTTTTTGTAAAACTTCTTTTGGCATGGGATATGGAATGACTTTTTTCCATGTTAACTACTGTGTATGTCGTGGTTTGTGCTCTATTGTATTTACTCATTATTTAATTATTCGAAAAGAATTTAAACGGATTAGTCCTAACTAAATATGTAGTACTTTGTCCGTCATTATAGATTTTCACATTACTATATGAAATAATACTATCGACATGACCCATTATCATATTTTTGATCAGATCATATTCTAGAGAATAATAGCTTCTCTGGATTAACACGAATCCATTCAAGGGAGCTAGCTCGATTGATTGATTGAATAATAGACAGGAAAAGGTAGGTTAACTAGCTTAGCTTAGTACCACAAATAAGAAATAATTTAGTTTCATAGTGGTTTTACCATATTGCCAGACCCCTCATTCCATTTGATTCAGAATTCATGATCACATCTCAATTAAGTAGGAGTAATAATTATTTGCTTATCTTTACTAAAAAAAAAAAAAAAATAAATAAAATTAATTCTCCAATTAGCAACCAACAATTTGTCAATTTGTATAATGCTTAGTACACGACATAACGTATCTAATTTTCAACCGCATAATATGGATTAAAAACGGGTCTAGGCAGAATATATCATCTTGTTATGTCTTTTTAATTATAAAAAGTAAAGCTTAAAAAGCATCTAGAAAAGCATGATGTATTAGTTATAACCATATAATAGACATATAATATGGGTAGAATATATGCTGATCTCTGGAATTTTAAAGCAAACGTTATAAAAGGGTTTATATAGGTTAAATTTCACACATGCATGCAAATTAAAGCAAAATGAAGGAATATATTTTTCCTTTTGACAGAAGGATTTAAATGAATTCATATTGAAATTCAAAGTAACTAAAAAAGAAAAAAGACCAATTGATTGGATAATGCATGGAATCATATATATACATATTGGATTATATGTGACATTATAAAATTATTATAATCCTCCCTTATCAAATCAAAGATAATTTTGAAGAGGATTAAGGTTAGGATATGCAAAAGGACTTGATAAGTTTATACAGGGAGCAGTAGATAATATTATATTTTAGCGTTTAGGAGAATTTGACCGATACATTTATTTGTTTATTTTTTGGGAAGGGGGTGTTAGTGTGTTAAGAAAGGCATAAAGAGTGATCGGTATAATTGTATGAATGAGATTTGTTATTAGGTCATATATAGTATAGATACAGCCTTATAAGATATTAACAGAGTTGGTATCAACATTTGATAGGTTCTTAATAGTAGTGCATGCTAGATGCAATTATTTAATTTCTACATATATGTACCGTACACCCGAATATATCAAAGAAAAGACCCGAATGTATCAAAGAAAAGTGTACATTCAAAACAATACTCATTTATTAGGAGGACCAAGTTATGCTTTGTACTTCATACTCCCTTTTATTTATTTATTTATTTATTTTTTTACTCCATAGTTTACTACTCCCTCTGTCTCTTTATTTTTGCCCCATTGCCATTTTTTGGGTTAAACATTGAAAACTTTGACTATAAATTACCGTTAATCTATAAAAAATAAGGTATGAGTGATTTTTTTAGATTCGTCTCATTGTGTAGTTATTAATTTTACATTTTTATAATTTTTACATGTATGGAAATAGAAATATAGACGTTTTAAGACACGTCTTGAAGACCGTACACTTTCAAATGGGGCAAAAAAAAATAGGGATTGAGGGAGTACAAAGTATATTTTCACTTGCAATTTTGGAATTGAATTATTATTATTGAAAACTCTTGAAAAGATATAAAGCATATATAGTATATTCTAAATCAGGAAATGAAAGTGCATACAACATGTACTTCATATATAGCATATTTAGCCAGGCCACTTTATTATGAATTATACATGTGTAAATGTACTTAGCCACTTAAAAGTCAACTTATTTATGTAATATAATAAGGGCCAATAAGGGGTCATGAAACATGTTATATATTATTCACCCCTAATTTCAAGACCTACACTTAATATTGTGGTTGCAATCATGTATAAAATTTCCACTAAAACATGTTAATGGTCAACAACTCAACATATATCAAATACTCGTTGACGTTTACTTATCATGTTATCAAGCAACCAAGTTTGACCTCACATTTGCAAATTGTTGCGCACCACCCCAAGGCCCCAACCTCTACGGCTCCACCTCAATAGAACCAATTCAAATTTTTTTTTTTTTTTTTTTTTTTTTTTTTTGAAGGTAACTGATGCTCTCACTAGGAGTTTTTGACTTTGGCATACTCCGATCCATTGAATATAGTCATAGTAAATAATACTTGCTTACCTACAAATTGCGTGCGTGAAGAGTCAACTTATGAGGTATAGTATTGTTATATTAGATGCAAGAAAGACTAAAGAAATTAGTAAACAAGAACAAAGATTTTATATTTTTACTAAATTAAAACGATGAGTTAGTTATATCAACAGATAGGCGAGAGGAGAGTTTTACAGATCTTGAGGATGTTACATATATATTACAGAATAGCTGATAGGTTATATAGTCCCCTAAAACGAAAAACGGAGTAGATCTAAATAGGCTCAAAAACAGAAAATTGTAACCTCACGCAGCATATACTGTAAATTTTGGTAGTATTGCCCCAGAATCCCCCCTCATTGGCCACGTTGTGCCCTTGAGCCTGTCCCAAACGACATTTCATTTATTAAAGGTGTCTTGTTTTGTTGAGTGAAATACGGACTATTATTTAAGAAACGAGTATTAAATCGGTGTATATGGCTTGCTGTTTTCAAAAGTAGTTGGAGAATAGCATAAATTGTTACGCTTTTTTTTTTTAGAGAATATTACATGTCTCTTTAAACTCTTTGCATCATCCCAACTTCCAATTTGCGCAAAGATGAGTGGGGGGTACTATACATACACACTGTACTGTATTTATCAATTAATTGCACCGTGCACTATCTTTTGTTAACTTAGTCAAAAAAAATTAAACACCACTATAAGTGACAATTTAGACCTTAGGATTAAGACTTTTTTCATACAATAAATACCATGCCATAGTCACTCTTACCCTCTTAGATTTAATTTGCGATCAACTTATAACAATAATACAAAAAATACAAAAAGAAATGGGTGATCTAAGTACTCCTGAAATCCCATTAAAGAAATTCGAAGTAGAAGAAGAAGATGAAGATGTCGCGAAATCACAAGTTCTTGATTCGTCGTATGATTACAAAGGAAGGATTCCTCATCGAGCTTCCACTGGCTCATGGAAAGCCTCATTCTTCATCATAGGTAACCTCATAACTTTTTTGTTGTTATACATTATACTAAGCTAGTTTTTTTTTAAAAAAATTTATTATCAGCAAAATCTTATATGAGGCGATCTTCTTTTAATAACTTATGACTAGACTAGATGACGTCTCACTAGCTTCTTATAATAAAAGTTAAAGTTATTGTAAGTTTGACTCACCTAAGATTTGCTGATAGCTCAACAAAATTCTAATATCGGTTGAAATGATTATGTATATATGTAGCAATTGAGTTTAGTGAGAGATTGAGCTACTTTGGAATAGCAACAAATTTGATAACATACATGACAAAAGTGATGCACCAAGACCTGAAAACGGCGGCGAACAGCGTGAATATATGGACAGGAGTAACAACAGTAATGCCTCTTCTTGGTGGGTTTCTTGCGGATGCTTACACTGGCCGCTACTTCATGATTCTCTTCTCTGCTATCCTCTATGTCTTGGCAAGTCTTTTCTCTCTCCTCCTAATTCTATATTAATATTTCCAAATTTAAAAAAAAAAAATATCTT